GTAAGTAGTAGAATTGTAAGTTGTGGCAAATTATAGATAATATACAATCATAGTACTAATAAAAGATATTAATTATAACAAAAATCAGTAATGAGTAATACTTATACATTTCTTGATCATTTAAAATTAATTATTTTATGGATTGTTCAGTATTTGTTACAACTAATGGCATCGGTGTACGGAGCGATATTTGTGTCTTTGTCTGTTACGCGTAAAATCCATCTCGTCGATGACGTTCTCAGTAGTGTATTTCTAACCACGAGCGTAACATCGGGTTTTGAATTATACGGTGTGAATTTACAGTTAAGTTAGTAAGTAATCGACGTGTTGTAAGAACAATTGGTGAAAATATTAGTGCTAATAAGTGTTTAAACATTAAATAATAATATTTCTACACCGTTCTAAAACTATGCAAAAAATGGAAGACATTGAAGGGCCTTCAACGTCGAAAAAGGTAAAACGGTCGAAGTCTCGGTCGCTAAGTGAAAAACAAATTGTACTTCGAGTATTTCACTGTCTTGAAAGAGATCATCAGCGACCAAAAGATAACTTAGTGCATATATGCTGTAATTCTACGGATGTACCTCCGAATAACCAACCGAGCGTTCCAACATCATTAACTTCCACAATTACAAAAGATAAATTAGTTGATATGTGCTCTGATTATACGGGTGTACCAAAATCATCAGTTTACAAAATACTAAGAGAAAACAAAATTCATGGGGAAGTACAAACGCCAAAAACTAGTAGCGGAAGAAAAAAATCACAGTTGATGAAGAAGCCAAAAACAGTATACGCACAACTATTGAGAAATGAGCTGCCCACTTTGCAAAAAGTTCTGGAGGCAGTTAGCGATCATGAATTGGTCCCACAAATGAGTAAAGAAACTTTGAGGAAAATTTTACACGAAATGAAATTTACGTACGGAAAAGTCGACAGGAAAAGCATTCTCATTGAACGTCAGGAAATAATAGTATGGAGAAGAAATTATCTCCGAAAAATTGAGGAATTTCGGAATATCAAAAAAAAAATGTACTACATGGATGAGACGTGGGTTAACCAAGGACATACGGTCAAAAAAGTATGGCAGGATGGTCATATAACAAGTGCACGACAAGCCTTTATTGAAGGCTTGTCAACTGGGTTAAAACAGCCGTCTGGAAAAGGTAGTCGTCTGATAGTTACGCATATAGGAAGCGACAGTGGATTTTTACCAAATGGTGAATTAATATTTAAATCCAAGAAAACAGGCGACTATCATGAAGAGATGAATGGGGAGGTGTTTGAAAAATGGTTTGAAGGCATCATTCAACTTGTGGAACCTGGGTCTGTCGTCGTCATGGACAATGCCCCATATCATAGTCGGTATTTAGAATCATTACCGAAACAATCATGGAAAAAACGAGCAATTCAAGAATGGTTAATTAATAAAAACATCCAATATAAAAAAGATAGTTTAAAGGCCGAACTACTTCAGTTAACAAAATTACACAGAGACAAATATAAAAAATTCGCAGTGGATGAAATGGCGTTAAGTCGTGGAATTACAGTATTAAAGTTACCACCGTACCACTGCGAATTAAACCCAATAGAATTAATCTGGGCGCAAGTAAAAGGATATGTGGCACGAGAAAACAGAACATTTAAATTAGTGGACGTGCAACGTTACCTACAAGAAGCCATTCAAAATGTATCTGCAGAAGACTGGAAGAAATGCATTCAGCATGTTTTAAAAGAAGAGCAAAAAATGTGGGACGTAGACAACCGTATTGAACACAATATTGAACCAATCATAATTAACTTTGATGATAGCGGTAGCAGCAGTGACGAATCTGAGGTTGAAGATTAGAAGAAAATTTGTACACAAAAAGAAGTCTATATATTTAGGTATAATTTTTATTTTTACCATTCACTATTACCATTTAGAAATTATTATATAAATTTGTATTTTTAATTCCTGTACACAGACATGAACAATGTCTCAGCAGGATACAAATGTTTATTTATTTAATTATTATTATTGTATCAATTTGTACATTGTTACATAAATTTGAAATAAACATTATTATTATTATTATTATTATTATTATTATTATTATTATTATTATTATTATTATTATTATTATTATTATTATTATTATTATTATTATTATTATTATTATTATTATTATTATTATGTTTGGCGGTCAAGAAAACATAATCCTGTAGGTTATATCCAAACTAATTATCTTACTTAGGGATTTCCGAAATGATAGGTGCGTGTAAACTTTTATGATTTAAGTACCAATCAAATAGTAATTTAAGCTTTATAATGTCTTTTAATGTTGGCCGAACCCAATTAGGGTTTCTTGGGTAAGGCTGGCTAGTTTCGAGGAACTGCAGGTAAACCGGGAGAGAGAGAGAGATATATATATAGAGGTATGCTTTATTGTCATTGAAAAATTACAAAAATTTTATAGACAAAGCGAAGTAAATTAAAAACTAAATATAATATAAAAAGATTAAAAAATATAAAAATTTAAAAATAACTAAACAAAACAAAATAAAAATATCAATTGCATTGGATATGCAATATCCGTCATTATGATTTTAATTTAAAATTTAAGTAATACTTCTGTATGTGTAACCCAAGAAGAAACTTAAGAGACAGTTCCTTACTGACTTCGGCCGCGACATAATATATAAATATACGTTAATTTGTGAAATAAAGTTAAATTCATTATTAAAATAGTAAAATTGATAATATTGTTTCTGTCACCAAACCAACCCCTGATTAGGTATCTTTCTTATTTTTAATTTGAAATATATATTGTGATTTTTATTAATAATCTTAATTTATTTGGTTCCTACTATAATTACCACAATTATTACTCCGTTTTCATAAAGCCCCACTAATGACTACAACGATTAGGTAAATTACGATATTGCAAAGTTTTCATGAAATAAATAAAAGAAATTGTATAAATATTTTAAATAATTGTACCCTCTCAAAAATAATAAGCACGCCTCCGATTTGGTGGTATTTCTACCTGCTTTGTTTGAGTTTTTAGTATCGACGTCAAATTACACCAAAATGTTTGGTGGAACTATTATGGGAGACAAAATTAAATTAATTGTAGCCGGTAAATACAAATGTCTATCTATTTATAGTTATGTTTTGCGGTATTTGGAATTCGTGCCCACTTCAATTACGGTTGAGTTTAATTATGAATGTTTTGAATGCACCGCATAATATGCAGCATCAAGTTCTCATAAAATGACAACATGTTCTTTGTCAAAAGGTTAATTGTAGGTATTTCAATAATATTCAATATTATAATAGAGATAAAATAGAAACACCTATAAATAAGGTCACTGGCTTTAAAATAAAATAATCCCAATAGGATAGTTTATATACCTATTACTTTTTTATTTTCCTATCCTAACGGGATAGTGTATGAGTAAATAACAAAAATTTACATCAACGATATAGAAAAAGATAATCTTCACGTAGGTAACTTAAAGTGTTGAAAATAAATGAAACCTTTATAAATATACAACCTTTAATAAAAATACCACTTTTTAGTTTTAATGAGTTAAATATATAGAATTTCAAAACAAACCAAAATAAATCAGATATATCTACAATATTAGCAGATTAGCTAGGTACCTGTATTTCACGAAATTATTCTTATTTAAATTCGATTATTATGTCGATAAAATATATATCCAAGGAATTTAAGATCTCCGTTTTTAATTTTTTGGAAATTATTAGATATATTAGGCAACACAATAACCACTAATACGTATTTCTGTTTGCATAGTTCTATAATTGTATTATCAGAATTATATATTTTAAAATAGAAATAAAAAATTAAATTATATTAAATAAACCAATTTTTCTTTAGGGCCAAATAGAGAAATCGACATAAAAAAGTCGCATTAATTCCTTTCAAATTTCAAATTGTTAAAAAAAAAAAGAAAAACACCGCAGCAGTGCCTATTGTCGCGGAAAATTTCCCGGTGGGCCAATCCGTCCCTGTTTCATTACTTGAGCTATTTTTTATCCAAAAAGTAGACATAAAAAGGCAAATGTAATACATTTTATACTCGTGCCTCCATCTATGAGTGAGTTTACAAACAACAGTAGTTGATAATAGATTACTGTATTAATATGGTCCTTGTTGTGGCAACTTGTCTATAGATGGTGCCACCAGTACAAATAAATGGAATTCAATCATTTTATGTTCATATTTTGGAGAGAAAATGGCTTTGATAGCAGTGATTTTTTTTTTTTTTCGTTTTTCTTACTAACTATACATGGAATAAGAGTGGGGCCCCAGGGCAAAAACACTGGCAAGGGCCCCTTATGGCAGATTTTACGGAAAATAGCGAGGTATTTTTATAAAAAAACAATGTTACATTTCTAAAAAAAAAAAGATCCTCAATTTTGGGCAAATTTCTATAAAAAAAGTCCCCAATTTTGTGGCGAAAAAAGACAGAAGAAAACAGAAAAAACCAAAAAAAGGCCTCAGCTGATAAAACTAACGGGGCCCCCTTGTGCCCAGGTCCCGGGGATTTCCCCTCTTCCTGCCCACCCTCTTGTCTGGCCAGCATCGATATTAAGTTATTACAAAAAAATATTTCTCGAAAAATAAAAAAAATCTTTATTTTTTGAAGGATTTTGATATTTAAATTTTGTGGAAAATATACATACTGCTAAATATTACCGCACAGATTCCAAAAATGAAATCAGTTTTTTGATATCTCAAGCCGTTTTCGAGTTACGAGTAATGGTAAAAATGTAAATTCTTTGTTTTTTATTTTTGAGATATCTGGAAGAATTTTGGGGTTTCGATTTGGTTGAAAATGTTTCTAGGTGGGCCCATTCGACCATGGTTTTTATATTTAAAGTGTGATTTCATATATTTTTGAATGACAAAATGATTTGTTTTTATTAAAATATAACTTTCAAAGGAATACAAATTACATCAAACTAATAAATATTTGTTTAATAATGGTGCTGTTTTAAATTGACGTGATGGTGTCTCTTCCAATGTTTCTGCAATAAGTTTATTTTAAAAATTCAGTATATAGATCATTTATTTATTTTCTCTAAATTATTTAATTTCATTTGTTTTGTTTTGCGACTGCAGTAGGGCGTCTTTGCGTTTTTTAACGTATCTATCGTGTCTTCTTTTAATTTCAAGGATTTCTTTCATTTCTTCTTTAGCTTCATCCTGGATAAAAAAAGATATTATTTAAAAATATTTAATTCTATAAATTAAATAATAATTAAACAAATAATAAAAGTTTAGACGTCTAAACGACACGTCAAATAATTACCGATTGATTTAGACGCAAAACCAAAGCTCTTTTTTCATCAGACATTGGTTGAGAATAAACCATTAGTTGTTTATGTCTTTCTTTTGGACTAACACCTCTCTCAACAACCAAAACTATTCTGGCCCACTGAAAATTAAAACAAATCTCATTTATAATATCTGAAAAAAGTTATTTACATTTAATTCACCTGTCGCTGCCATTCGTTTCTAGTTTCTGCTATTTTTTGGTAAGTATTTCCCATCATAGCGATCAACATGTTAATCAGGAGAATAGCAACTATGGCCATAAATATAACGAACAGTATCTAAAACAAATTTATAAATTTACCTGCTTGTTATCAACAGAAATAAAAACACTCAGTCTAATGACAATGACATACAACATTCCCTTGACGGACTGAAGACTGAACGTTTCAAAAATTCATTAAATAATGACAAATGGAGAATTCTATGTACACAATTAATAGCATACAGACTCCCCTAGTTTATCACAACTAAACAACGACACATCTAAAAACTATATTCCATTTCTGATATACAAAAACAAGTACAAATCCTAATTAATAATATCTGGCAGGTAAGAAATGAGAGTAACAATAAAAATAAAGACATCTGCAAGAAAATGTGATACGTCTTTATTCTAGAATATTATATGATAGATTATTGCGATTGAAAATAATCTTTATTATTATTATACAGGGTGTCTGTAAAAGGTCTTTACAAAAACATACCACATATTCCTTAGACCAAAATAAGTCGATTTAAGTAAAATTACCTTAGTACAAAGTTGCTTCGTTTGGGCTCCAGAGGGCCTTGAAGTTACAATTTTTAAATCGTTTTTCCCATATAAATTTAAAACGGCATATGAGATTTTGCTGAAATTTGGTATATTGGTAGAGTTTTATGTGGCAAAAGAAATGGTATTAAAATTTTGTCTGATAATAATACATAGGCGTAGAACTTGATTTTTAAATAATTTCACCTTTAAAAATTCTACGCCAATGGAAGAAAAGGAGTTTGATTATGAAATTTAGATTGCGCAACTCATTTACTTTAAAAAAGGTACTCTCATGGTTTTCGCTAAATTTCTGTTTTAATAATTTAGAGTGAATAGGTTTCACAAAAATATTTATTTACAACATAATCAAAATAGAGATTTTACAAAAATTGTTCAAAATGTTCACCATTTTCACGCAAAAAAAAATTAAAATGTATCCTTTCCATAACTTCTTCATCACCTCTAAGATTGTTTATTGCATCTTGAATACGTTGCCAGAGTTGTTCCTCATTTTCTACAGGTTCCCTGTAAACTGTGGATTTCAGATGTCCCCATAAAAAGTAATCCATCGGTGTTAGGTCTGGGGAACGTGGTGACCAGTTTACAGGTGCGTCATTACCTCTGCCTATCCATTTGTGTGGATATTGTTCATTCAAGTGGTTTCTAACGTTTAAAGAAAAATGTGGTGGAGCTCCATCTTGAATAAACCACATATATCTCCGAAGTTGGAGAGGTAAATCTTCTAACAATTCTGGCAACGTATTTTATAGAAAATCCAAATAATTTTCTCCAGTTAATCTTCGTGGAAGTATGACAGGACCAACAATGAAATTACCAATTACTCCAGCCCACACATTAATTTTGAATTCGTGCTGAAAATGGTTTACCTTTATTGCATGCGGATTTTCAACGGCATAAACATGTTCATTATGGGTATTAGTTATACCTCTTCTTGTAAAACCCGCTTCATTGGTAAAGAGAACCTTCTTGACAAAGTTTGGATTTCTTTCTCTTTGCATATTAAAAAATCGACAAAAACCCAAACGAATTTGACGATCATGGACTAATAATTCTTGTACTGGCTTCTTATGGTATGGATATAGCAATTGTTCTCTAAGCACTTTATGAACGACATCTTTACTTACTCCTAGTTCCCTTCCAATTCATCTGGTGCTTAATTCTGGATCTTCTTCAACACGTTCTAAAATGTCTTCTTCAACTTCAGGAATCCTTACAAAACGTTCTCTCCATTATCAACAGTGTTGGGAGCAAAGGAACCGGTCTCCCGAAGACGTCTCTCAACAGCAGCAAAAGTTGGGTGGCTAGGTACACGACGATTTGGAAACCTTCCAGAGTACACCTTGACACTCTCTCGAGTATTTCCTTCACAAAATCCTAATGTCAGTATGTTGATAATGGGGTGTTAATACACTGCGACCTAAAAGATCTATTGTGCCCCCTTCTGTCGCCACTGCACTAAGGAAATGTCTCAATGCCTATAGCGACCCTTCCAATCCTATTTTCTCAAGGAAGTGTAGGATTTGAAGTGGCTTCAAGTTAGGTAAGTCTCCCTCTTCCATTTGATATCCTCCTAGATATAGTGCCCTTGGATTCTGGAGTGCTACACATTCAGTTAGGATGTGACTGGAGGTTTCGTCCTCCTCCTCACAGAATCTGCACTCACTATCCTCTACTACTCTCAGTTTACTTAGGTGTCCTTTTAGTCGGCAGTGCCCGATAAGGATCCCTGTTACAATACGTAGCCTGTTCTTGCTCAGGCAGATGCAGGCTTCCGATCTTTTTTGGTTATATTCACCCAGAAGTATCTTGGCCTGTCTCAGCCCCAAGAGATTGTTCCAATTATCGGTTCTTCTACTACCCAATTCTTTTTTAATCTCTTCTAATATTATGTTACTGCTGATACCGCAGAACGGCTCAGGTCCTACAAAGGGTGTTTGAGCCCCTTTCCTTGCAAGACTATCTGCAATCTCGTTACCCTGTACCCCGTTATGTCCCGGGACCCAAGTGAGAGTAACTCTATTTTTCTCGCCTAGCTCATTCAATTGTTCTAGGCATCTCCATACCATTTTTGAGCTGATTACGTAAGAACTCAGCGCTTTGATGGCTGCTTGACTATCGGACATGATGATAATCTCTTGTCTATGATAGTTTCTCTCGATGTTAAACTGGATACACTTCTCGATGGCGTGAATTTCCGCCTGGAAGATGCTTGGGTATTTTCCCAAGCTTTCGGAGTGCTTGGTTCTCGGCCCATACACTCCTATTCCAGTTCCTTCTATGGTTTTGGAACCGTCCGTGTACCACTGAATAGCACGTCTTTCGGTTGCAAGCGCGATGGATTCTTGGCTCCATTCTTTCTTGCAGCCCAGCTCTGTGGTTTTGAAGTTTTTCACAAAACTGTACTTCTTTTGCATTTCATCCTGGGGCATGTCCCAGGTATCTTTAGTCCTGAAGCAAGTAGACTTTCGTCTGATTACTCCGCTCCTGATCATTCTATATCGTGTCCTTTTTGCCACATTCTCTATCATCAAATGTAGAGGGGTGAGGTTGAAGATCACCTCCATTGCGGTCGTAGGACAGGTTCTCATTGCACCAGTAATGCAAACACAGGCTAGTCTTTGTACTTTTGAGATATTAGCTCTCGTAGTAACTAAACTAGTTCTGTTACTCCAGGCTATAGCCCCGTAAGTGATGATTGGTCTCACTATTGCAGTATACATCCATCGCAGTATGTTTGGGTTACATCCCCATCGTTTACCCGCCATGTTTCTGCATACCATTAGGGCTTTTGTGGCCTTATTTACTACTTCCTTCTCATGTGTGTTCCAGAGAAGTTTGTTGTCCAGGGTTAGGCCCAGATATTTGACTTCATTTTTCCATTCTATATCTATCCCGTCTAATTTAACGGTTTTGAGATTAAGTTTTCTTTTCCTTGAAAAGGCTACTAGTGTTGTTTTTGTAGGGTTTATACTAAGTCCCACTTCACGGCACCATCTTTTGGTATGTTCTAGTCCTCTTTGGACTATATCACACAGGGTATTACTAAACTTGCCACTAGCAAATATGACTATGTCGTCGGCATAACCTTGACAGGGTATGCCGAGGTCAGTCAATCTGCATAGAAGTTCGTCTACGATTAGGCTCCACATTAGTGGGGATAGAACTCCTCCTTGTGGACATCCTCTGGTTGTGCAGATGGAGATGGTGTCCTGCCCTATCTGTGTCTCTGCAGTTCTCGAAGATAACAGCTGAGCCATCCATCTGGATGTGATGTTATCTACTCCTCTGTATGCAAGTGCTCTTTTTACAGATTCATGTGGCGTGTTGTCAAAAGCTCCTTCTATGTCTAGAAAGGCACACACGACCGTTTCTTTGTTTGTCAGTGCATCCTGGATTATATTAGTCAACTGTACCAGGGCAGTTTCTGTAGATCTTCCTGCTCGGTACGCGTGTTGGCTGTGGTGGAGTGGCACACTCTCCAGGACTTCTGTTCTGATATAGTTATCAACAGCCTTCTCCATTGTTTTTAATACAAAGGATGTGAGGCTGATTGGACGGAAAGATTTAGGATGTGTGGTATCCTTTTTCCCTACTTTTGGAATAAAGGTGACTCTGGCCCTTCTCCATGCTTCTGGTATATATCCCAGCTCCAGACTGCTCCGGGATAGCCGGATTATGTGTGGTAGTAATTCCTCCTGTGCCTGCTGAAGCAGGGCAGGAAATATTCCATCCACACCTGGAGACTTAAACGGTTTAAAAGTGTTTACGGCCCACCTTAACCGATTTCTGCTGCATATATGCTTGGCCATGTCAGTAACATATCGGTATATTCTGCATTGGTATATTGTACAGCCATATTAATAAACATCGCATTTGTTTTTTTAATTATTGAGTCAGATAGAACACTTTCAATCGTTAACAAGAGATTAGGTGTTAAAACTTGACAATATTTTTATTTAAAAGAAACTATAGAAACCAACACTAAATGTTTTTGTATACGTATTGCAGGCAAATAATTAACATTCCTCAAAAAATCGTACATGGCAAGAATCGAGTAATTTTGTTAAAAGTATCGATTAGAGGTGTTGAAGAAGATATGAAAAAAGTACATTTTTATGTTTTTCATCGTATAAAATTTTGTCCGATAATAATACATAGGCGTAAAACTTGATTTTTTAAATAATTGCACCTTTAAAAATTCTACGCCAATGGCAAAAAAGGGGTTTGAGTATGAAATTTGGATTGGGTACTCATTTACTACAAAAAAGTACCCTTGATAACACTCGGTTTACTCTCATGGTTTTGACAAAGTTTGTATTTTAATAATTATTGTTTATGTTCTAAAATTACTAAAATGCAAATTTCGTCAAAACCATGAGAGTAATCGAGTCTTATCAAGAGTACCTTTTCTTCCATTGGCGTAGAATTTTTAAAGGTGCAATTATTTAAAAAATCAAGTTCTACGCCTATGTATCATTATCGGACAAAATTTTAATACCACATAAAACTCTACCTACATACCAAATTTCAGCAAAATCGCATATGTCGTTTTAAATTTATATGGGAAAAACGATTTAAAAATTGTAACTTCAAGGCCCTCTGGAGCCCAAACGAAGCAACTTTGTACTAAGGTAATTTCACTTAAATCGACTTATTTTGGTGTAAGGAATATGTGGTAAGTTTTTGTAAAGACCTTTTACAGTATATTAATATACAACTGACAACAAAATTAAGGATTAATTATATGGATTAAGGTAGAATTGTTCACCAGATCTCCAATAGTAGTCGAGGAGGAAAAATCAACTCAGTAACATAAAATACTGTTATAAAAAATACATAATTACAAATCTGTACCCCAGAGCTTAGAGTATGGTAAGTCCAAAAACTTAGTTTTTCAGGAAAACATTTTTAATATATTCATTTTAGACTGTGGACTTAGTGGACTGGACTTATGATGGTGGGTGAGGTTTTCTGGGTTTTCCTCACCTGTAAGTCAAATGGCACCATCAATCATCTTTAAGTCGCCCCGGAGCGCCACGGCAAATAATAATAATAATAGCCGTCCCTTCCCCTACACAAGTCGTTCAGTCTACTTCAGGGGTTGAAATTCACTCGTAAGGGGATGAATTATTAGGGAGAGTATTATTATTATTATTAGTGTAGTTAAAAAGGAGCTATTTTTGTAATTTTAAAAGATACGTCAAAACGATGCACCGCAAAATTTTAAGTCACTTAACATATTTACCTAAAATTTGGCCAATTTGGACTTATCATAGTGTGGCTCCGAGGTACAGAACTTGGTATAAACCAAAAGTCTTACCTTAGCTTCTATTTCATGTTCAGTTCTAGCAAAGGCATCATAGTAATCTCCAAAATTCGTGAGAGACATTAAAAACATTGCCATAATCGATTCAATAGGAGTCGACATCGGATTCGTAGCAGAGTCATCAACGTCGTCAGGTGTTAAAGGGTTATCAAACGAAAGAAATATTATATAATAAGCTGAAAAAAAATAATTTTAAAATGTCTGATATTTTTTTAATGCTTTGATGTACCTTGTGAAAATCCCATTACGAACACTAAGTAAATAGTTGCAAATCTGATCAAATCACCCATTACCATTCTGTAGATCATCACAACGAATGGACCCACTGTTTTAAAACCCCTAAAAATATATAGTGTGATCATAGAACATTTAACATTTTAAAAATCATCTTATAAAAATGTTATTTTAAATGAGAGCTACCCCGTATATATATATATATATATATATATATATATATATATATATATATATATAGATAGATAGATAGATAGATTAATTTCTATTAAAATTATTTAAAATGTTAATGTCGGCGTGGGCACCGTTGCTGAGGGAAATCTCGCATAGTGGGAGGGAATTAATTTCTCGCGAAGTGGTGATTTTAAATTATTATCTACCTTCTATTCTTAATCAATCGTTGACTCGAACTGTTGGGTCTAGACTGCAATAAAGCAATAAAGTAAGTTTTTTAATGTCATTGGAAAAATCTAAATAATCTTTACATTTCTACCTTTTTTTTAATTATAAGTATAATTTTTGAAAATCAATTTTGAATTATTCGATGTGTTTATTAATTCCTTTTGTGTTGCTGGAAATTCATATAGTTAATATTAATTTTTAATACTATAAAAAAGTAAATGTATTAATTAATTTTGTAATTGTTGGAAATTTTTAAAATATTTATTGGAAAGTTCAACTTATATCTCTTGTAAGGGCCTTGTTTAGAGAGCGAATGTTTAGCAGTCTAGGGATCGTAACTATCAAAGCTGAACCTTGTTGTGATTGCCTTACATGAAGGAATTAAAAGATGACTCGTTGAGTTGAATCGCAGGAAATCAACGTCCTAATTTCCACATGCGTAGCTTGGTGTCGATTTAGTAGGGTCCATCATGAACATTTTTTAAGTAATACTGATAAAAATAGCTTGTACGATGGTCAAATTTTCTGAGCAAAATTTATTAGACCACTAGATTTCGTCAAGTCTCACGGTCGTAACAATACACAATAGTAATTCAACTAGCGAATTTAGCAAGCGTAGGGGACACCGGGGCGGAATGGGGTATCTAACGTATTTTCTTTTAAAGACGTGGTAAAAATTCAAAAAATGCACAACTATTATAAACAATTCAAACAAGAATTTTTTTTTTTACTTTATACAAACAAGTGTTCTTTACCCCATTCTGGACTACTTATAAAAATAAGCTCACAGAGTATAACAAAGAAATACGCAAGGCTAAAAGAAACTCATGGAGGAAGTTCTGCGAAGAGGTCTCAGAGACCACCGCCAGCGCTAGAATCCATAGAGTTATAGCCAAAGACAGTACATCTAGTCAAGTGGGATTCCTCAAAAATGAGGATGATACCTACACAACGACACTAGAGGAAAGTCTGGAGATACTAACTCAGGTGCACTTTCCGGATTATTTTCTCCACTCTAGGAAAGGCAACCATACAAGCAAAAGTTACACGGGGCTGCCCACAAGGAGGAATACTATCTCCAATGCTGTGGTCAGTTCTTGTGGACGACTTACTCAAAATATTGTCCAAAGAAGGCTACCAGTGCCTAGGATACGCAGACGACCTAGCAATCATCGTCAGGGGGCGATTTGCAGGTACAGTTTTGGAGCGATCTCAAACAGTTGTAAACATAGTGAACAACTGGTGCAAAAAGGAACAATTGTCCATCAACGCACAAAAAACAACAGTTGTACCTTTCACAAAAAAACGAGTACTCACAGGTCTAAGACCACTAGTACTAAACAGCACAGTTATCCCATTCGTCACAGAAGCCAAATACCTCGAAGTCATATTTGACCAAAGGCTGACATGGAATCAACATCTCTAAAAACTCACACATAAAGCTACAATAGCTCTCGTAAGCTGTAGAAGAATATGTGGGAAAAACTGGGGTCTAAACCACAAAATGACCATATGGTTATACACAAGGGTAATAAGACCCATGATAACCTATGGCGCAGTGGCGTGGGTAACCAAAACTGCGCAGGCGAGTGCAATAGGCCAACTCACTAGCATTCAGCGGCTTGCCTGTTTAAGTGCTACTGGGGCCATGCGCACTACGCCGACCGCAGCCGAGGACTCCTTTTTGTGTACTGTACGACCAGCTTGTGGTTCAGAATCATCGACTGGAGTAGGACCTGCTTGTATTTCAGGTTGAAAACCAGTTTGTGCTGCAGCATTGGAAATATTAGTCATCATCAGTGAAGGTATCTTCATTTGTTGGCAAAATCCCGGTTTTCTCGAATCCTTTTAGAGCAATTTTCATGTTTGCACTATTAACAAATGCTTTCCAAAATATAGTTGATATTTCGAATAAAGTAACAACTTTACCTGGGTTTGACCGCAATGGGGAATATCCAATCCAGCCCTACCCTATTCTGACACAGATGATTTTAATAACAAAAATATAACCTTTCAACAGACTTATTTATTAATATCTTGAAGAATCTATGTTAAAAGATACTTAAAAACATGCCGTATATGCCGAAAAGTTATACGAACATACACAATTTCACCGCGTTTAGTTGAAAATACTCTCAACCGTTTGCAATAAAGTGATTGTTGCTGTCAGATGATGCGTGGCCTTCTAATGAATGATAGCAGAGGGCACTAATAATACCAGACTCTCGATGCGGGAAATTTCAAACTAATCCCGTTTTGTCCTGGTACCGCGTTGCGCCCCGGTGTCTCCTATGCTCGCTCAGTGCACGTACTGAGCGACTCGTCTAGACAGTGCATAGATAGATAATTGCAAAAAAATTAAAACGGTTTTGGCCCTTAGAACTTACTGGAATATTCAGTATGGCCCTAAGGCTGGATAGTTTGAAAACCCCTGTAAATACTAGATATACAGAAAGGAAAAGTATGTCATTGTGTTCCACTGAACCACTAAACTTATATAATATAATTTCATATTTATTCTTTTAAGGGCACTGTACGGATATAAAATCCACCAATCACAGTTCTTATTTTATTTATTTTTCGAAAGTTTTAATTCGTTTTCGAAAAATTGTAATTAGATTGATTTACTTTCTAAAAATGAAGTTATTTGATATAGAACAATTAGTTTTCGAATAATAATAAATCGAAAAATTAATATTCGAAAGAAATGATATAAAAAAAAAATTTCTAAAATCGTCTATACCCCAATAATGGGTATAAAATCTTATTATGTCAAAACATTCATCTTTAATTTAATTTGGATTCGTAAACAAAATCTAAAACAAAACAGAGCAATGTCTTAGTTTTATCATTAAGTAGTTGATTACTTTTACAAAAAATATTCTAATAAAACAATGATTTAATTTTGCGCAATAAATGTTTACTTAATGGATTAGACGGGGATCAAGCTATCAAATTATTTGAAATCTTTTAATTGTTAAAACAAAGCCAAAAATGTTAGACGATTGCACTAGATCTTTCATCTTTTATCACCTTATTTAAACAATAATTAATCAATGCGATTATGGAGCTTAAAATTCTTGAAAATATAAAATCGAAAGTTACTGAATCGTCTACATCAGTTCAAAATGATCGCCAAATTTTCGTTTGTGCTTCTATTGGTGGTAAGTATTTCAAAATTATTCTTCAGATAACGATGTTGTGGGTTTTTTTGTAATATCATTTTGAAACCAAAATATTGACAAAAAAATTAATTTTTGGTTTTATTTATTTAATTAATTTTCATTTATCTTCTCTTAGAACTAATTCACTCTTTTGAGAATACAGTGACTTCCTGTACTAAATTTTTCTATTATTATCAAACTCCAAATGTTTTCTTTAATAGTTTTATTTGTTCAGTTGATTTCAGTCAATGCAGAACCAATCAGAAATAATGAATATATCACAAAACTCCACGAAATCATCAACCAAAAAGATGGCCGAGAACAATTTACCAATCTCATCTTAAGTTTACTGAATGGACCCAATGGCAAACCAAAGCCAAACGTAGTTGAAGATATAAACGAAAAAACGACTCTTATACTATCAAAATTCAGTAGAACTTTGGACGATTTAGCCAGTGAACCTAATGGGTTAGAAAGCAGAGCTTTGTTAAGCCTCAGCAATACGATTTGGTTGAACGAGAGAGTGAAATATGTTATCGATTTTTTATTTGTTAATTTCGAATCAACTATTGGCAAGTTTGTTTTGCATCCTGTTAGACATTTGGTTGATGTATTAATCAATCGGCTGTTGCCTTGTGGCGTAGAATGTACTCTTCTAGCTTAAATATAAAGTGTTTTAAGTACCAAGTTGTTTTAATAGATATAATTATTAAAGTATATGTATATAACATGTATATTTCTTTGTTCTTTGCCAGTATTAGACTCTGAACTCATCTCCGATCTTCTCAATTTTTTTGCGACGTTAAATATATATCAACATTATTAGTACTGTAACGTTTATTTATTTTAAACAGTTTTTTATATACTTTATTTACAGTATTCACTAATTTATTTTAAAACTGAGCATTTTATCTCAAATACTTATTTATTAATTTACTTTGGCAACACATAGTGTGGAACTGCCAAATGGAATAAATTCGCTAATAAATAAATGGGGACGTTTTCGGAAAAACGCTTAGACACGTCGATGGGTATTTTTAGTTGCGCATTTTTTTTAACAAAAACTTTTTATACAGGGTGTGCCATGTAACAGTGGCCAATACTAACTTTTTTATTTTAAATGCAACACTCTGTATATTTTTCCATTATTGGATTCTTCAGAAAATAAAATAAAAATTAATAACATAAATATTACAGGCATTGAATACATAAATTTTATTAAAAAAATAGTACAAAACCACAAAAAGGAATAGTAGACAGCATAACTGATATTGGGGTCTATTCTGTAACAATTCCTTTATATTTAAAGGCCTTTAAAAATATTTTCTTCTTAACTTCTGTCATTATTTAAACGGATCTTTAAAATACATTAGAGGACTATCTTAAAGAAATCTGTTTAAATAATGACAGAAGTAAATTAACGAATACAAACATATTTTTAAAGGTCGCCGATATTTTTAAAGGCCGTTAAATATAAAGGAATTATTACAGAATAAACCCCATGACTTGCTACCCTAATAGAGAAACAAAAATAATAAAATACAAAAAATAAATAAAATAAAAATATAAATATACATTCTATTATAATTTTTAAAGGTTGTTTTGACCAGATATTTTCTGACATCAAGAGGTGTTTATACTTTTGCTTAAATATATTTGTCAAAAGATGTTTGAGTTTAGGAGGAACCAGGTTATATAGTTTAAATATTATATAAGAGAATGAACTTTGAAATTTGAAGGTACGATAGAGAGGTGGAGATATATGCCATCTAAACCTTGTATGCACATCACTTGTAATTTTGTCATAGAGATAAGAGGTGACTTCTAGTTTCCATATTTAACCATTTAGTTTCAATTAGTTTATGACTTATCCTTTCGTATTTTTTTATACCATATATGTAACGAAGACAATAATTCTGAACTCTTTGAATACGATTAATATCCACATAGTCAATACAAGGCCCGTAGACGACATCGCAGTAATTAAAACCATAGTATTACAAAGTAGTATTTTTGTATTTTGATCTAAAACATGGCGATGCAGGTAAATCATTTTTAAATTAGCGTAAGCTCTTTTTATACAATTATTCACATGGCTTCAAAATTTTTGGCAACATCTACACAAGCCACCAAGACAGCATCAATACTCACAGATAAATGTTCTGTTAGTTCTTTCTTATTTTTATCAAATACCAGTATTTGTGTTTTTGCGGGATTGATAAATGTCTGTTAGAAAAATTAACGATTTTTATTATTTTTGTGGCAATATTCCAGTTTCTAGGTCTAAACAACTGAAAGTCTTGAAATTATTATCCTTAAAGGGTTACCACTTTTTTATATAAGCCAGAGCTCTTTGGTAAACATTTAGAACATTTTTCGTAAATTGTTTTGACTGATAATCTGAAAGATGGCCTTTCCTCAATGCTATATGTATTTTAATTATACAATAACATTTTTAATTTTTTCTCAAATTACACAAATTTCGACATGGAATCACGGTTTTTCGGTCTAACTAGCCCAGATTTGCGTAAGTTGATCTACGAAGTAGCTGAAAAAAATAATATTAGACACAATTTTAACAAAGAAATCAAAATGGCTGGGTGGAAATGTTTCTTTTTTTTTTAAACGCAATCCCCGCATATCTTTAAGAAATCCTGAAAATACTTCGTTAGCTAGAGTTCAGGCTTCTAACAAGCCTAACATTTTGGCACATTTTAAGTCATTAGCGTCGATTTTGGACAAAAACGAATTTCTTCCTCAAAACATATACAATATGGACGAGTCTGGCTTGACAACTGTTCAAAAGAAGTCGCAAAAAATATATGCTTGTAAAGGTCGCAAACAAGATGGTGCCTTTAGCAGTGCAGAACGCGGTTAACACCATGGAGGAAGGATAAAATAAGAATTGCAGATTCCACACAGAAATTTAGCAACATGTTTGCCTTCAGCGACATATGGGATAGTTTTGTGCAACTAATATTCAGTCGGTAATATAAAAAGCTGTAATGCTATTTTAATTTGAAAATTGGCGGGCTTTTGAATATATTTCGACAAAATATAAAAATTTTACATTTTCAATAGCATTTTTTTATAACACGCATCTCATGCGTGTTAAAAAATGCTAATGAAAATGTAAAATTTTATGTTAAATAATTTTAGAGGTATAAAATAAATAATACAAAATTGTATTATAACTAAATATTATATGTAGAATCTTTATTGGTTACAACAATAAACATAATATAACGAACAAAATTTTTCTTTAATCGTGAGAAATAAAACAAGAGTTCCATCCATAAATCTTGAAACGAAAAGAAAAAAAAATGGTTGAAAGCGAAAAACTTCTTAAAACATATGATTTTGATTGTATGTGACTAATTACTAGAGCTAGGAATATATGCAAAACGCCATATTTTGCATATGTTGCATATATATAGAGTGGAAGGGTAGTCTTTGCTGAATAGTAATGTAAAATTCAAACTAATTTATTGGGGGCAGCAGCAATATGTAATAAAGAAAACTCTTTAAAGATGATCCAAGCTTTCGGAAATTTAATAACTTATTTCCATCTTCAGGGAATCTACAAAAGGTGTGGTGTGTCTTCATAGGAACATAATATTATTAAGAGAGTGAGTTACTTACATCTTTGTGAGGATGAATTATTAATGATCTTAAATATGTTAAATGTTATGATTTTGATGCACATATAGAATTATAATTACACAGTTTTACAATATAACTTAAAATTATTGTGGTTAAATTTCAGTTTGAAATTTAACTGTTATGTCAAATTTTGTGTCATTCGTTGTTTATGTATACAAGTGTGTTAGATTAAATATAGAAATTACTAATAAGGAACCTAGTTAGGAAGATTACTTTGTACCTAAATTATTATTTAATAATGTTTTATCTGAGAATGCAGTTTGATTAATTATTTCATCATCAACAAAACTGTCACTAATTGTTGTGATGAATGAAAGGATGTTGTAAATTATTTCATCATTATTTACAGTATTGTACTTGACAATAACTCGTTTTATCCAGACAGAATTGCTTCCGGAAGTCGTTCCAACAGAAAAATGTTTATTGCTGTTATCCGATGCTGCCCCGTACATGGTAAAAGCCGCACAAAATTTAAAAATGTTTTATGAAAACTTAATCCATGTTACATGTTTGGCGCATGGCCTCAACAGAGTTGCAGAAGAAATTGGGTCTAACTTTCCTTTAATAAATGATTTAATTAGTAATGTAAAAACAATATTTTTTAAAGCTCCTCTAAGAACTCAGTTGTACAAAGAAAAATTTCCTGAATTACAGATGCCACCGGAACCTGTGATTACTCGGTGGGGTACCTGGCTTAAAGCTGCCTTTTTTACGCAGATAATTATGAAAAAATTAAAGAAATCATATTTGATTTTGATGATTCATCTAAGGGAATATCTAATACAAAGAAGTTGTTTCAAAATCACATATTACCAAAGCAATTAGTGTTTTTAAAAAAAAATATGCATTTGTACCCAAAATTATATTAGATTTAGAACTAAAAAATTTACCTTTGGTGACTTCCGTAAATTTAATTAAGACGTTTGAATCAGAGTGTAAAAATGTCCAGGGCGATATTGGAAAGACGATTTTTCATAAATTTTGAACACGTCCCTATTTATTTATTACCGAATTCATTCCATTTGGCTGTTCCACACTATATAATTATCTTAACTATTGATTATATCTGTTTAGTCTATTATTGCGGTTATTGAACCCACTATTGTTACTTTTTAGGAATAATAGTCTGATAACAACGTGAATCTCAGAATTTTCAAATATCTTCATCTGTAGCTGCCCGAGCCCTTTCGCAAGCTGCATTGAGGGGTTGCAGAGCACACCACAAAACTGACGCCCGAGTAATTTCCGGACCTTTAGCGTAAAATCTATGAAGACAAGAAAACTAACTTTACCTAATGAACCTTTTAACTTCTACGTACCTACAAAAAAATAGGAAATACGGTGCTGTCGTTATCATAACCATGACAGCTATTGTATCTTCAAGTTCCTCGTGGCAAGCCATCCGTAACATTGGTATGAAAAGCATAAGAATACAAGAAAATAAAAACATTACTCTTGATGGGGATGTTTTCTAAAAATAAAACCGAAAATAAATATTATATTTTACGGAAAATATTGCAAGCGTACCCAGAAAATTGTCATTAAAATAAAATATTTCAGAAGGGATTGTTTTTATTAAAAAAAAAATAATAAAAATAATCTATAAAAAAAAATTGAATTAATGTTTTGGTATTTTAAACTCATTAACTTAAAGAGATACCCGTATAACCCTCGGTGGCTACGCCACTGAGCCTAATACAAACTTACAAGGTTTTCAAAAAACATTCTCAATCCTAAAAATCTTGCTTCTCGAACGGCTGAAATAAGGTATAAAAATGATCCAATTGTTATAGCGATTTCAGCGCTAAATCTTATTTTAGCCTCCAGAGAATCCAGTTGCATTAATCTACATTCTTCTGCTAGATTATCCCACCATTCTTCCATATCGTAATCATCATCTGTAACGATTGCTTTCAGTATATCCTAAATAACAATTTACTTAACATTAAGTATGTACCTTTATTTTTAATTTTCTTAACGGTTTCGTTCAATGGCAGTTTCAAAAGGATTTTCACGGAATTATTAGTGCTGCTATTTGATAGATGGTGATCGGTAACATTCGTGGTATTTTTAGCAGCCGCTTTTACTTCTGGAAGACCAGGACGTAGAGTGAACGCCACTAAAGATATTACAAAGTAAAAAGCGAATGTGAAAAATTGTTGGTAAAATTTGAATTTTACGAAAGTGTTCCATTTTGCATGCAATAAGTCGATAAGGAGACCGTCTAGTAGTTCTAAGTGTTCATCTTTATCCTAAAAAAATATGTGCATAGTATTAAAATATTCTTTTATACTTTATACAGGGTAATCTTCACATAAAACACTCTAGGGCCGCTATACGCATCTCGTCAGAGAATCACATAGTAAGATATGAATTCGGCAAAATAAAACTATATACTTTTAATATCGTGTGATCGTAGAAAAAATCTTCTGTGTAATTCGAGCGGAAAGCTATTTACCGCTTACGATAAAATGCCGCACTCCGCGGCACGTCGCGCGGCAATTTTTAATCTTAAGCGGCAATGTAGCACAATACACAAATAGCTATTTCCTAACAAGTACAGAAAGTGTTACTTTTCCAAATGCAACTACTTTTATAACGACGCGCAGATACTTACTCCAAAAACGACCAAATTTAAAGCTGATATTTTACAGATGTGCCCTGTTTCCATATCAATAGTGTCTATTTGTGACAATGGATAAGCAGCGCAGGTTATACTACCTGAAAAATTATCAAATTCATTCGATTATCATACTGAAGCATCCCAAAAACAAACCTATTTGCCAGTATATTTCTCGTTCCAAATTTAAAATGTGAAAAAACATGTCAGTTCTTGCTATTTTAGCAGCTAGAGTCAATGCAGTAAGATTTTGATTGTTACGTATGCCTAAACTACTTCCAACTTCGTAAGCCATATCAAAATGTTCCTAAAAAATGAATTATTTTTAAAAACTACCTTACGGCAATTTTGAATTTAAGTGGCGCAGTCAGTAGGATAGGTCAAACGGGATTAGTGGATATAATTTTCGGTTCGTATTAACGATTTATTGATCTATTCGAACATATACCGTGTGTTAGGAAATTCCAGTTGGGTAAACTGAGTAGACATCAAAAGGAAATGTACTTCGGGAATAGGAAGAAAAAACACTACTGGGATCTTTTGCTGGTTCTTCACATGGAAGGAATATCAATTTTGCTGTAAGTACTTATGTCATATAGAGGTAAAACTGATCAATGTGCTTCAGATTGTTTGAAATTATAACGGGCCATTTAGGCAACGATTCCCCTTTTAATATTGAAATTGAGCAAAAATTATTAAACGATATATTTCAAAACATAAAGAAAAAATTAAACTTATTTATTCAAACATAAACGAAAAAATTCAAAATATGAAAGAAAAAGTTATAGAAAAAGGTAACAAAAATCGAGAAGAATTACCTAAAGATATACCTCCTAGAGTATTTGTTCGTAATAAACAAAAACAAGTATCAAGCCGAAAACATTAAAACAATAAATAAAAATAAAAAGACAGCCAAAATTATTCCTAGACACGGAAATACCGCTGAATATATTCACCTATCTAATATTAAGAGACCTAGAAAAAAACTTATGCTTTTATTTCAGATTCCTCGCCATTGGACAAGGAATACAAATCAAAAATATAACCCAAAATTTAGAATTACTCCCAATTAATTTAGGACCGGCAAAATTACAAAGAAATACTCATACTTTCATACATTTTTTTGATCTAAACCCACTTTTCGAGGAATATACCAATTTAAATAACCATTATGATTATTTAAAGCTTACTTTTTTTTAAACACTGGGAATTTCTGAACGATACATGAGAACCGCATTAAATAAAGTCGACGAAAGTGGCGTATTGGAAGAAGAAAAACGAGGTGGTTCAAATTCCGCTGCTGTTATTAAGAGAGGTAAAGACCTACGCGAAGCCATTATAACACACATTCGCAGATTTCCTAAAGTAGAATCACACTACTACAGGTCCAGTTCTACAATGTAATATCTGCACCCAGGCTTGACAATATTGAAAATGTATGATATGTTCATAAACGAACTGATCCATTCAAAATATTTTTCAGAAATAGTCACCTTCAAGAAGACTTCGATTCGCTTACACTTAAAAGATTACAAACTGATTTTTCTGAAGTTAATTTGGAGCCTCTAAATCAAAAACTCAAAGCTGAGAAATACCTTGACCTTAAGTCACTATGTGAAGGGTCTTTGCCAGTAGTTAGAAATCAGGAGCATAAAATATTCCACACAATGCTTGATTCCCAAGTAATATCTGATTTCATTATCAGTTATTTTTTTTTAGAATTATTATTTATTTTTTAAATTTTATTATTATACTAACAGAATGTTTGTTTAATTTGTATTATTTATGTTTGTTTTGTATCTGGTGTATGTTTGTTGTTGATTTTTAATAAAATTGTGGTTAATCTTTTAATAAATTTATTGTTTATTATATTTTTTTGCACTATAGTATATCCTAATGAATTGACGTAACTCAGTTTTATGTCGTTACGCAATGGTTTTTCAATTTCACAAAGTGACGTATCTCATTGTCGGCCATTTTAAGAAAAATCCAATGAGGTTGAATACTATGGAGATGACATGCCAAAAAAAAACGACACCCCTTCCCCCTCTCTTAGTGGTCATGTCATATTTTATTTATTTATTTATTTAAACGGGCATACACCCTTTTACAATATATGTACGTTTATAAAATAATAAAGTATTAACTTAACCTAAATAAAATAACAAAAAAAAAAACAATTGAAAGGTAAAATTAACAGAGTTGGCAGATATATATCACACGATATATATCATGATATATATCGTGATATATATCATGATATTTATTGCTAGATAAATATCAATGTTGATGATATATATCCAATATTTAAATATCTTTAAATCTGCTTAATATATAACAACCTGGCAACGTAGCATTGCATCAGTCTGTTAACAACTGTCTGGGATTTTTCTGGGTAGAGTGTTTACATTTATCGATTTATTCTCTGTTGTGTGCTATTTTTAGTTACAGTTAGGCATTGTGTATTGCAACTATTATTTTTCTCTTTTCTATACTGTTTATTTATTATTAAAAAATGCCAAAAAGTAAACATTCAGTGTGGGTAAATTTTCGATGCGTAAATAAAGATCAGAATAGTGGTAAATGGGCTATTTGTAAAAAATGTGAAAAGGAGATGCAGGGAATCCCACAGAGAATGTTAAAACACATTGAAAAGTGTCTAAATAGTGAAGCTGGAACAACGGATATAAATACTATTGGAAATATTAATCAAACCTTGACCCTGGAACAAGAAGAAACTGAACGTGTTAAAAATAAAAATGGTAAGTTATTTTATTTAATAAGCGCTTTTTAATAACCAAAAATGAAAATTGCATGGTAAATAAAGAAAATGTTACATTCTAAAAATACAAATTTGTATAAGGCTGTTGGTTGGCATGAATAAAAAATATAAAATAGTTTGTTATATGGTGTTAGCTCAGACATTTCCTTTTTTGAACTGTTTAATTATTACACCATCTCTTTTTATCTGCCGACCAATAATTATATCTATATTTAAAAAATAATATTTTACTTTCTCTTTCAGTAACGACAGTAAAACCGCCGAAAAAAAAGCCCTGCTTAGATATAAATAAATTAAATGTTGCTAAGGATGTCTGCGTAATTTCAACATCAAAATCATATGCACACACCATTGATTTACAAATTGGCAAATTTTTCTTTGCGACGAATACACCATTTAGACATGTAGAGCATGACGAGTTCAAAAAAATGTGTAAAGTTTTAAGACCAGGATACAAGCCTCCTTCCAGAAGGCAAATTGGAAATGATTTATTGGACGAAGTATATAATGATGTTACAGAACTATGTAAAGATAAATTAAAAGGAGAAGTTGTATCAATGTCAGTTGATGGATGGTCAAATGTTCATAATGAACCAATAATTTGCTGTTCTGTTATAAATGAATATGGTGAATCGTACTTAATTAAAACTGTAGATACCTCTGGACATTCACATACAGCTGATTACTTAAAGGGAGTCGCTTCTGATGCTGTTATACATATCGAAACATTTTTTGGTGCGAAAGTAAGAAGCATTGTGACTGATAATGCCAAAAACGTTGCAAAAATGAGAAAACTTCTAGCAGCCACACCTCAAATTGATGTTATACAATATGGTTGCTCGGCTCATATTCTCAACTTGTTGGCAGAGGATATACAGATTCAGGGCCTTAAGGAACATATTATAAAAGTTATAAAATACTTTAGAAACAAGCATTTACCTTTAGCCTGGTACAAGAGAGCGCAAGGGAAAATACTTGTCCTTCCTCAAGAAGTTAGATGGAACACTGTAACTGATACATTAAAATCGTACCTAGAAAATAGAGGGATACTTGTACAAGTTTGTCAAGATCATAAGGACGCCATTGATCGTGATATATTCCTTATTGTAAATGATATAAATATCACAGTAAATGCAAAAGAGTTTTTAAAGCGTATGAGCCGATTGCAATTTCATTGGATCGCATGCAAAGGGATGGAACTACCATAGCCGTTAGTGTAGAAATTTGGAAAAAACTAGAAGAAGATTTACAAGGACAACCACGTAATGTGCTCGAATACTTTCGAACTAGAAAGGAGATGGCCTTAACACCAAGCCATTATTTAGCAAATTTATGCGACCATCGCTTTAGAGGGAGAAATTTAAATAATGAAAAAAAGAATCTAGCATATCAGTATTTAGAGACTATAAATAACAATTTTATACCTATTGTAATGGCATTAAATTCAGGGTCAAAACCGTTTCCTCAGTTTATGCTTGCGTCTGCTTTTCAAAGCACGCCCCCTATGACTTGGTGGAAGGCACTTACTTTAGATTTAGATGACAAAAAAGATTTCGTTTTTCATTGGACAAATTTACAACCCACCTTTTTAGAAATGTGTTCAAAGCTACTGACTGCAGTAGCATCATCTGCCGGATTGGAACGAATTTTTTCCACATTTGGACTTGTACAGTCCAAACTAAGAAATAGACTAGGAACTGACAAAGCTGCCAAATTAACTTTTATTTTTAAATTTCTTAATCAGGACTGTTCCAAGAAAGCCACCAATTTGGACTGGTTATACAATCAGCAACAAGACCTTGAAGTTCCTGTGGCATCCTGTAGTAAATATAACCCAGAGGAACAAGAACCAAACTCCGAATCGGACTGATTTTCTTCTTCTTATTTTGTTTTTATAAAATTAATTTGTCATAGTTTTTATTTGAAGTAAATTAAAAGTTAAAAGTAACAAACATTTTCTAAAAATAATAAATGAAAACAAAAACTTATTAAAAAGTGTGTAATTATAAATAAAAATTTAATTCTGTTATTAAATTTACTGTCAAAAATACTCGACAATCTGCAAAAATCGAAGAAATATATTAATATATTTTTTCATCATTATACACTTTAAATACTTCTTTGTTTTTATTACTTATTAACCACGCCTATTATCCTCCAAAAGGATTTTCTCAAAAGTTAATTGAGACAATCTGATATATATCAAATTTTGATATATATCCGATATATATCGTATATATCCGATATTTTGATATTTATAATAAATATCATGATATTTGCCAACCCTGAAAATTAAAAATAAATTTAAATTAAAACAAATTTAAATTAAATAAAAAAAAAAACAAAAAAAAACAGTTGTCAAAGAGCTGTCAGAACTTTGTTCAAATTTAAATATTTCGACGTTATTTCTATCTTAATAAGTGTTTTTTTTTTTTGATTAATTTGTATAAAAATCATGACTAAGTGTGCCAAAATTAATTGTAAAAACTCTTCAGTGAAAGAGCCTAAGAAAATATCTAATTTAAGTTTTCATAAGTAAGTATAAGGAGTGTACTTAGAATTTTTTTTAGAATGCTTAACTTTTTTTTATTATAGGTTTCCAAAAGACCCACAATATCTCAAAATTTGGTCTAATTTTGTGGGAAAAGACCAATTTGAGCCTAAACCGAATAGCATATTGTGCTCTATTCACTTCAAGGAAGAATTTTTTGATAAGAGTGAGTTTAGGGTTCGATTGAAGAAGAATGCTGTTCCGACAATAAATGAATGTTTAGTTAGTATACACTTTATTTACAATAAAACTTAAATAACTAACTTATTAAAGAACATTGGCTTGACTAACTTTATAATAAAGACAAATAACTATATTAAAACTTAGATAACTATAATAAAACTTAAATATCTAACTTTATAATTAAACTTAAAAACCAACTATAATTAAACTTAAAAACCAACTTATAATTAAACTTAAAAACCAACTTATAATTACACTTAAATGACTAACTTTTTAAGTAACACATAATTTAGAATAAAATTTCAAGTATTTAAAAGCAGTATTTCTTGGAAATTCACAATGCTTTATTAGGATTAAAAACAGCAGTTTCTAGAAACTTTTTCACTATAACACTAACATTACTGATCAGAAAAAGTGGTTAAAGTTTTCTTTTTGTAATCACAAATCGCAACTGAATGCCTATTTTTAAAATAAATTATCTCTATAATTCCATTTGTATAGTTGTATGCTGTGCATCTGTGAGATTGTTGTTTATTATACATAGGTACCAATTATAGAAATCTTTAGTAAGTACTTGCTTGCAATTTTAGTAATATATGTACCTACCCTATATAATGAATTAATTCAAACATAAATAAAACCAACAACTATTATCTGAGTTTTTTTAGTTCCGATTGGTTTTAACAGAGTAGTTTTGATCATGGTTTTCTTCCATCTACTTTTAACCATAAAGTCATACCTAGCTGAATTTTTGGTCTTTTTAAACTTTTGACTGTAGCTGGTCATATTTTTAATGTATGTCATCTGCAGCAGAAAGACCTACATGTTTTACATTTAAAAGTAATTAATTGTCCTTTCTACAAACTCGGCTGTATTTTTACTGAAATATATTTATTCACAATTCACGTAGTGGTTTGGTTTTTGGTTTGGTAATTTGATGTCATAATTCTCCTCATTGTCAGATTTTGACATTGGCAGCTTTGATCAAGACAAGAGAGTCCTTGAACGAAAAATCGTAGTTCGGGTTTTAGTTTTAAAGCACAAAAAGATTAACAAATCTGATGCACAGTGTTATTCGAACGTTGATTTTCGATCACACAGGTCATATATCGGACGGTTTCGGCGAAGACAGAACAATATAATAATATTAATCTCTTTTATGGTCTTGGCATTTGCTTGGTCGGAAAATGGTTAATAAATAATAGTAAATAGTGTAGAATTCATAATTGCGCAATGTCATCAAATTAATTTCGAATCGATCATGTTGAAACAAATCTTTTTTTTTTTCTCTCCTGGGCTCGTTTGACTATGTGTCTTCGAATAACACCGAAGCCTATTGGCTTATTGTGTTTTACCCCATGTTAGTTCATAACACCCACTCTATCACCTTTGTACCTTGTACAAGTTTGTACAGATCCTTGGGTGAGTGGGTTCTATACGTTGTTGGATCAACCTGGGGTTGTCCAAAAAGAGCCTGTCTTTTGCGATCTAGAGCTTCGCATTCGCACAGTATGTATTTGGCCGTTTCTGGTTTCTTGTGACATAGTCGGCACATGAGTTCCCCATTGTACATGCCAATTTTGTTCAAGTGTCCCTTTACTGGGGCGTGCCCAGTCATGAACCCTGTTATCACTTTCAACTGGTTCCTATTCATTAAGAGTAGTTCTCCAGTTCTTTTGGGACATGGTCTGCCTATGAAGGCTTTTCCATGTGCCTGTTTTGGGGTGCTTCCCCAATAGTTGATATGTAGTTCCCGAATCCAGTCATTTAAACAAATCTTAGGTAAGTAAGTCATTTAAAAGTTGTAATTCTGCATACGGACTTTAATTATTATATTTGAATACGACCCTGCTTAGTCAACCATTTAAGCCACGCCCAGTGGGGTCATTTTTAATAAAACGTATCATATGCAAAACAATTGCCTCATGGCATCTCCATTAGTATTATACCTCCATGGAAAAATCAAACAAGTTTTTTGGCGAAAAAGATGTATAGACGTGTACTTGACACATTAATCTTCTAGTATACCAAAAATTTGATTTTAGATTGTTACTGTTACTTGTTGCTATTAATAAAAATCTTTAAAACCCTCTCCTGTAAAGTTGTGAAAATCCAGTTACGCCACTTAGTGAAGTTAAGACATGTCAATTAAAAAAATGTTTCTACCGATTTTTCTTTGATGACCAATAAATGCAAAACAGTGTTGCCATTAGAGTCCTGAGCATCTGGATCAGCACCTCTGGCCAATATTAATCTGAAACTTTCTTCTTGGCCCAGACAAGCTGCAAAAGTTAGAGGGTATTCACCCCAGTAAACGTATCTGCAATAAACAATTTAAAATGTATCAAACAAAATTAACAATTTGATTTCAAATTCTATTAAAATACGTTTTGGTGTTCCTCAAGGAAGTCACTGTGGACCTTTACTATTTATTCTATTTATAAATATATTGTTTAGAAATAGTATATTACATTACGAGTGTGGAAAGTGACATTTTTCTCACGAGTGTCGCACGAGGCACAAGCCGAGTGCGACTATCACACGAGTGTGGAAAATCACTTTTCACACAAGTGATGTACAATATTTTTCCTACGACCACAAAATAATATCATCAAAAAATGTAAAACCAAGGTTATTATTACTATAATAATTAAAATGTTTTTAAAAAAATGATCAACAATAAATATATTTATTCAATTTTCATATTTTCATATTTCTAAACAAAAAAAAAAACCTAAAAAAAAAATAAAAAAAACAAAAAAATCTGACTCCCCAGGATTTGAACGCGGTCGCTCACCAGGTCTCAAATTGCAAATTAGATAAGTTCGACGTCCTAACCAACTGAGCTAATAGCCCTTGTGTCAATTGAATGATCTAATCGGTTATGTATTTAACCAGAATAAAGAGCAAACATTATTTTAAAATTATTTTAATAATAATTGTTAAAGATAAATATCTAGGATCTAATTTACAACAATTTCAATAATTTAACAATCATATCGATTTTAGTATTAATATGGACATTACATAGATCAAAATAGAAATTAGGTGTTTGACCTTTTGTGACAGCTACTGCGGATAGTAACATATTCGTACACGAGTGGAAAGTAAATTCTTATTCATTCGCGTGTGATATAGGGCACTTTCCAAAGGACTATATAGTGTGATATGTGTCACTTTCCTAAGTGGTCGAAGGAAAAAGAACTTACCCTTCATAATTAGTTGTTTGACATACGTTCACCCATTCATGATCTAAAGAATCAGATCTTGAGAATTTTTGATCTTCAGGGCACATAAAATTTCCGAAACATCGTTCATGGATGTTTACATTGGCGTCAAGAAGGAATCTAACCATCGATGGGTCTTCATTCACAATAGCTATGTGTAAAACATTTTCTCCTAAAACAAATAAACAATAAAATAATTTTGTATGCCAAAATTTGATTATTTATACAATAGCTTTGTTCGCGGTAAGAATCCTGAACCGAATTATTACTAATAGTAACAATTGTCTATACCTGAAACACCGATATATAATAGGGATCGCACGCGCAGTAAAAATTCAGAATTGATAATGAATCAGGCATGCGCCCAAAGTATGAATTAGTAATTCTGAATCAGTTCAGGATTGTTACCGCGAACAAAGCTATAATTCCCTCCGAGCAATTACTACTAGAGGGAGTCTTCCCCCCTACCCCCGCGCTAAATTTTGTTAGCAACATCTACTCCCCCCGAGAAGGGAAATACCTCTTCTGTAATTGGCTTATTTAATCAGCGTTGCCAAGTTTGACAGTGATGTTGTGATCTCGTTCTGACACATGTCAATTATTGATTTGTATTTTACGAAAAATATAATTATTTATAGCCTTGTAAGGGTTTTAAATGTATATTGAAGATTTATTATCTGTAATAATATGGTGAAAACATGCTTTATGTGTAAAAGACCTGTTGAAAATGCTTCTTCAAGATTATATCATAGGTAAGTACAAATACAACTTAATTACCAGAGGCGGTGCATTAGGCAATCACCTTTAATTTGCAATTGAACTTTCTTATTTTCGAAAAAGTAAAATTAAGAGGGAATAAATCCCAGCTAAGTTCGTCTTCATCTGTATCATAATGATTATAGTAAAGGTTTAACAGAGAGGTTAATTACTTATTATTTTAATATCACATCTTTGTAAAGTTTATTGTTATTTTTTTTAGGTTTCCTTTTCTTGATATGAGAAAGAAATACATGGTTCCAAAATTTAAGAATTTAACAAGTGACCACCTGAATACCTTTTTATGCTAATGAACATTTTTATTATAGACCTCAGGGGAGGAAAATAATAAATAAAAATGCAATTTCGACGAAAGAAGTATAATAATCAATCCTGTCACTACTTCTACACTATATTCATCTGCTACTAAAATACTAAAACAGCAAGTAAGTAGAGAAACTTAAGTTTATTTCAAAAAGAATGTTTAAGGAAAAAGGCATAGCCATTTTTTTGTTGACACTTTTTTTTAACTAATCTAAAAGACTAATTTTGTGTATTGTTTAAATTTTCATTTTTTGTACTTAATTTGTTTTAGGTTTAAACAAAATCAACTTCTAAGAATATCCCAAAAGAGCTAATAAAAATACAAAAGTAAAATATCTATAAACATACAAAACAAACTAAACTCTAATTTTACCCAAAATATTTTCGTTGTTGGTTATTTGTTTTTTTTTCGTCAAATATTCAATTTTAATGCCCAAACTCTATTACAAATCCCATTGGAAAACACATATTCTAAACCTTGTAAACGTGGAAATATACTTCCATACTTATCGCAGAAAATATTCCACCGGATATGTTGAAAATGCCAAAACTGAATTTCCATAGCAAAATAAAATTTTCCCATAGGAATTAAAGTCAAAAATTTTACCCTAGGTAGTTATTTCATTTTTGCTCTATTTAGGATCTACATGATAATGATTGAAACATTTTACCTCTTATGCGGAATATTATTTCGACTAGGCTTAGTCCTAGATTATTAAATTTTTGCCATTATTTGCAATTTTAAATTCGAATTGCTTATCTTCTGAAAGTATTCAAATGTAGGTAATATATCTATAGTCTATTTTTATGTATGAGAGAGTATTAAAATAATAAAGCGTTCGTAATCCATAGGCGTAACACTTCTTTTAGTAGACAGTTAAAATATTTTTTGAAGTTATTCCTCGAGTATACACTTATATTTTCACCTAATTAACCTGCTTATAACTTCTAAACAGCTGAAGGTAAAAAAGTGCAATTTTTTCTAAAATGTTTTATTTTTCCACAAGGTATGTTAAGAACATTGTGTCAAAAGGGTTATGTAAGGTATAAGGGTTTAAACTTTGACTTTTAAACAACGTTTCGTTCATAAATAATAATTTTAATATAAAAACTACTTCTTACCTACAAATCCAAATCAGAATCGAAATCAGAAGATGAACTGTCGCAACCAATATTTACAATGAGTGGCTCGATCATTTCATCAGTAATATTGTCCAACTTCCACATTTTCTCTTCTTTAATCGTATGATTTACTGCCTTTTCCCAGTTTTCAGGCTTCACATTATTTACAGCCTCCAAAAACAACTGTTTAACATCACTCATTTTAAAAGAATTATTTTTTCTTGAAACTTCTCCCTTTATCTGTGCCCATATCAGTTCAATCGGGTTTACTTCGCAATGATATGGTGGTGATCTAACCATCGTCATCCCACGATTTTTTGCAATTTCATCAATTTCATATTTTTTGAATTTCTCTTTATGAAGGGAACACAAATGATACAGCTCTTTTCTCACAGAACCAGGATGGAACTTAATATTCTTTGAATTTAGCCAATTCTGTAAATCTTTTTTTAACCACTTGGTTGTGGGCATTTTTTCTATAAGTCTCGAGTGATAACTTGCATTATCCATTACTACTATGCAGTTCTGAGGAAGAAGATCTATAATTTGTTCGAACCACTCTTTAAAGACATCAGCATTCATGTCCTCATGGTAGTCACCGGTACGAGTAGATTCAAAAGTCAATAAACCACCTTTAACAAAACCGTTTGAACTACCGATGTGTACTATTATTAGTCTGCGCCCCTTTCCTGATGGTGGATTTAAACCAGTAGATAAATTACTTAAATAAGCCTGTCTTCGACTTGTAACAGTTTCATCTTGCCAAAATTTATTTGGTTTATGTCCCTCGTTGGTCCATGTTTCATCTAAATAAAATATATTTCTTCTTTGGTTTCTCATTTCTTTTATAGTCCTTAGGTAATTTCTTCTCCATACTACAATGTCGCTTCTTTCTATTAAAATAGACTTTCTGGAATGCTTTTTCCATAGAAAATTTATTTCTTTTAAAAGTTTCCATAGTGTTCTTCGACTCATTTCAGGATAATCCTTATCATCTCGAACCGTGGCAAGAACTTTGTCTACTGTCGGAAATTCTTTTCTAAAGAAGAACGCATGCACTTTCCTTCGAAGTCTTTCTTTCAAAAGATTTTCTAATTGAAATTTTGGTTTTCCTGGAGCTTTACGTGCTGTTTGAAACTCGCCATATTTCTCTTCTTTAACAACTCTGTAAATCGTAGATTTCCCAACACCAAGCTTACTACTAACTAATTCCACTAATTCAACACTTTTACATAAATGTTTGTCTGTAAATGATTTAAAACAATTAAATATTAATGTTTTTTTATTAACTGTTAAAGGACCGATTTTTTGTCGTTTACGCGGCCCTTCCAAATGTTCCATGATCACACTAGAATTCACACTGCATCTTGCAAGTTGCAACTAAACGACATTTAGTTAACTGTCAAGGATACACAACTTGGACCTCCTTACTAAATGGAAAACCTATAATCGCATTTTCGGTGAAATTTGTTTGGAAGATATTTATATACTTATAATTCGATTACTGTAAGAAATTCTTGGAATTAAAATAAAACAAAATTGGCAAATAGGTACTTATTGAAAATAATCTTAAGATACGGCTATGTAATCTTTAATACACAGGGCTTTTGGCCTGTCCAAACCTTTTTCTATTGTTCTGTACAGCTTATGTTTATAAAGGACCAATAAAAGACCCAAAACTTGTAATAGCTCAGGTACATTTATTACAATTTTAGGAAATATTTAGATTATTCTGTAAAAATATTTAAAATGACCGTACTAAGTTTTGCATTAGAAATGCTGTTTTATTACTCTCTCATACATAAAAATAGACTATACATGGTGTCCGTTATAGGTAATTTATTTATATTTGCTAGATAGGTCCTCTGTTTCCATTTTTATTTTTTTCATTTCATTTCATTAATCTAAAATTACAGGGCTTTTCCTTGCCTAAAATTAAAAATAAAAGAAATTTGGTCAAAACGTTTTACAAAAAAGCCGATGTTGTTTTACTAATAACAGTTTACTTTCACACTTATTTTAGATGTCGATGACCGCATGAAAAGTGTTACATCATAATTGCACATAAAAGCTGTTTATTAAAAAAAAAATTAATATGTTTATAACGGTCAAAGAGTTTTCTTCGCAACTTTAAGTTACTAATAAAAGTTTATATTAACTTTTTATTTTAGAATAAATTTTGCTTATATTTCAAATACATAGGGTGATTCACAAGGAATGGGTAATATTTTATCATGGTTCCAAAATTTAAGAATTTAACAAGTGACCACCTGAATACCTTTTTATGCTAATGAACATTTTTATTATAGACCTCAGGGGAGGAAAATAATAAATAAAAATGCAATTTCGACGAAAGAAGTATAATAATCAATCCTGTCACTACTTCTACACTATATTCATCTGCTACTAAAATACTAAAACAGCAAGTAAGTAGAGAAACTTAAGTTTATTTCAAAAAGAATGTTTAAGGAAAAAGGCATAGCCATTTTTTTGTTGACACTTTTTTTTTAACGAATCTAAAAGACTAATTTTGTGTATTGTTTAAATTTTCATTTTTTGTACTTAATTTGTTTTAGGTTTAAACAAAATCAACTTCTAAGAATATCCCAAAAGAGCTAAGGAAGGTTTTAAAATTCTTAAGAAAACTATTCAGAGCCAGAAACATAAAATAGTCTTCCTGTCCAAAATATAAATAGGTATAAATATTTAGATATTATGAGTGATTTTTTATTCTATAAATAGAACATAATTTGCTTCTAAATCACTACCTAATGAACTATATTATATAGTACAAAACTAAACAAGAATATCACATTATTCATGTTTTTTTTATTTCCTTAAAAACGTCCCAAAAAAAGTGAATATTTATTATTGGAGTTTACATCGTTATGCTAAAACAATACTAGAATAACTTAAATAATGTGGATTTTGACTATTTTGAGTTATGCAGATCATTATGATCTAAAAAAATGTTTGTCTGGTGCTATAGTCAGGTATAAAAACATTCATTTATTTAAACACAGTTGCAATGTACATTTTATTTAGTTTTTAAGTTAAAACCTCTTAGGACATCCTGAAATTACTTTTTTCGTTTGATGTGAGATTAATTATTCTACATTTTTGTTGGTGAAATAGGATATATTAAGATGTCTTACTGTTTTCTCTGATTATCTAAAAAGTTAGAACAATATACAAAGACTGTTATAACAAAAAAGAGATATACCTTTACTTAAACACACAATTAGTCAGTTCATTTGTACGGTAATTTAAAGCAGAAATCCAGAAAACTTTAAAAACGTGTTTAAATGTGTTCTTACTATAACAATGACATAATTATTAAAAAAACTTGGCACAATAACATTGACGATAGGTTTTTATAATATATATTATACAAATCACAACGAATTACACAAAATGACATTATTAATAATTTAATAATAAAAAAGTTAAGTACAATGATGACATTAAAAGTTGAGTTTCTCGAAATAATTTTTTTAAATTGTCTCAGTACCTACCTAGAATTTTAGTAAAATTAGCAAATTTTTTTAGTTTTTTTTTTACAATTAAAACGTTTGGACAATGTGTGTTTTTATAGATAAATGATACGCCACTGAACAAGAAGGATGTTTACCTTCCCCTTTGTACCCGCTTCCTCACTTCCTCCACAGATGTTGCTAACACAACAATCGCCTACAAACTCGTTTTCACGCTCCCTCTATTAGTAATTGCTCGGAGATAATTCCCCTCACCGTAATACTCGTCTGCCATATATATATCGTTGATTAATCTTGGATAAAATCGTAATAATCTTTTAGCTAGATCAGCATGTAAAGATGTTGCGTTAAGAAGACAAAGATGTAGAAGTGTTTCACCAACAGCTCCTCTGTCTCTGATCCTCCAACAAAGATGACGATATAAATGTGGATCTAATAAGAAAATAAGTGACTAATAAAGAATAATTTAAGAATCTAAATAACTAATACTTTTTTGATATTCCTCCTCTGGTATATCAGGACCTTCGTCATCAATTTCAAAATCTTCTGGGTTCTCCATAGCTTTTAGTTGAGGTAGCTGAAAGAATATAAAAGTAATCAAAATTTTATTAACAAAACAACTACTGCTTACCAATTTGTATCTTGCTCTTTCTTTATTTCTTAAAAGTACCAGTTGAGATATCGGAATATATTTGCCAGCGCCTCTGTTATATAAAAATGGTTCGACCTACAAATTTAAATAGGTAAATAGGTACAGTACCTATGACAGATATAGCTGAACAAAGTCGCATGCCCAGTAAATATGCCCGGTTTTTAGAGGTGGTCACTTTTGTGTCAATACATTAGACTCGAAGTTGTCTATTTTGAGATATACTAAGGAGGAAACTTAAAAATAAACCTTTTCAAATAGATTTTCATAAAGTGCAAGAAGGGGTATAGTTGCATTGAGAAGTAGAGAGAGAGAGAGAGATATGCTTTATTGTCGTAAAAAAATTTACAAAAATTTTATAGACAAAGCGTGTAACTTAAATACTAAACATATTATAAAAATAACTAAACAGCAGAAAAAACAAACAGAAACAAACAGACAAAATAGGAATAACAATTGCAATGGATATGCAATATCCGTCATTATAATTATTCTAATTTAATTTTAAATTTAAATTTAAATTTAAATTTAAATTTAAACTTTAATATTTAATTATTTAATTAATGCCATTGTATGTGGAACTCAAATGTCTAAGGTACGTTATAAAATTCTGCTACTGTGTAATATGGTCTTTCTAGAAGAAAAGCTTTAGCCAGTCTTCGGAACTTATCGTATGTATTTATAGATTTTAATTGCATCGGAAGGTTATTATACAATTTTTTGGCATTGTAGGTAATGGAATGTTTTAATAGGTCAGAAGCGGGAATTGTTAAATAAACATCAGTCTCTAAATTTCTTGTAGGATATCTACGAGTCGGTCTTTCGGATAAATTTTGAATGTGCTTGCGAACTAAGCAGACGGATTCGAAAATAAATAGAGCAGGAAGGGTTAGAATTTTGAAATTTTTGAAGTAATTTTCGCAATGTGTCCTACTACTTAAACCAAATACATAGCGGATTGCTCTTTTTTGCAGTTTAAAAATAGATTCGAAAAGGTATAAGCTACAAGAACCCCAGAAAGGTAAACCATAGCGAAGGTGAGATTCGAATAAGGAAAAGTAGGTTATTAATGCAGTAGAAGGAGTCAGCTCTTTAGAAACCGATTTAATAGCAAAACATGCGGAGGATAATTTTTTTGCTAAGGTATCTATATGAGCAGACCATTTTAGAGAATCGTCTATATAAAGACCTAAAAACTTGATTGAAGTCACCGTTTGAATCAGATTATTGTTTAAAGTTATAGGTTGTAAAGTACCTCTGTAAGACAATGCTACAGTTTTACTGGTGTTGAAACAAAGTCCATTCGAATCAGACCAGGACTTAATAGTCACTAGATCTTCACTTTTGATAGATTGTAATGTCTGCATGTTAGAATTATTCCAGGTTACACTGGTGTCATCAGCAAATAAAGTAAATTCTACCACTTATTCTTAAGTCTGTGATGTCGTTGATGAATAATAAAAACAAAATTGGACCTAATACTGATCCTTGAGGTACTCCACTGCTTATTGCTAGATTTGTAGAATCCTCACCATTCTCCCGCACCTGTTGATTTCTATTTTCTAGGTAAGTTTTAAACCATTGTAAAGGAGAACCCCGTATGCCATAAATTTGTAACTTATTAATTAAAATATCATGATTTACACAATCGAAGGCCTTTGCGAAGTCACAAAATACTGAAGCGGTGAAAAGTTTATCATTAAGTGATGTGTATATTTCATTAAGAACGGAAAACATTGCGTCACTAGTGCATTTTTTAGGTAGAAAGCCATACTGATGAGCTGTGAGGATGTTATGCTTGAAAAGAAAGGGCAAAAGACGATTTTTCATTAGCCGTTCTACTATCTTCGATAAGGTAGGCAATAACGCGATAGGTCTATAGTTACAGGTTTTGGTTTTGTCGCCACCTTTATGAAGTGGGATTATTATAGCTGTTTTTAGACAGTTAGGAAAGAGACCAATTTCAAAGGATTTATTCAGTGAAGTTAAAATGTTGATTACTACATCCGGTATATTTAGAAATATTTTGGTGGACAGGCCATCAATTCCACAGGAAAATTTATTTTGGATGTTGTTTATGGTTTGCACTAGTTCATGCTTGTCTACTGGTCTTAGGAAGAAACTTTCAGTGATCCTTTTAGTAGGTAGGAGGAAGGAGAGAGCATTCTGACTCGGAGCTATGTTAGATTTGATATTTTTACTTACATTTACGAAATAATTGTTTAGTTCATCTGGGCTAGGATTTACGCTGTTTGAAGAACGGGTTTTATTCCTTAAGTCATTTATTATAGACCAGGTTTCTTTGGAGGAGTTTTTAGCTCTTGCGATGCGATTTTTGTAATAGTTTTTCTTAGCAGATTTGGTGATTTTCCGATACAATATTCTGTAGTTGTTGATATAGTTTAATATTAGGGGATTATCTGTGTACTTTTTAATATACATGAGTGACCTCATATTTTTAGATGATGTTCTTATTCCTTTAGTTGTCCAAGATTTATGACATTTAGTTTTAATGGGGCGAAGGGGGAAAGCTGTATTGAAACACATAATTATTTTATTTAAGAAGTCTAAAAATTTAGAGTCAATATCTTCAGAAAGACCATTCCAATCAGTAGTTAGACATAAATTATAGAAATTTTTGAAATTATGCTTAGAGAAAATTCTACCTAGCTGACGGACTTTTTTTGGAGCTGTACGGGGTATCAAAAATTTGGCAAATACTGCTTCGTGGTCTGAGAGACCTGAGCTAATTACTTGGTGCTCTACATCAACGGGTTTAAAATCAGAGACTACGTAATCTATAATTGTAGATGTTGTTTCTGTGATTCTAGTTGGAGAATTTACGTGCATAGTGAGACTGAATGATTCAAAAATATTGATCAAAGACTTTTGAGTAGCACATACATTAGCAAAGTCAATATTAAAATCGCCGCATAAAATTTTCTTACTTTTTATAGGCAATGCGTCAAGTAGATTAAGAAGATTCTCTAGAAAGAGGTGAACATTTGATTTAGGTGTTCTATAAATACAAATAATAAACAAATCAATGTTTTTGTTGTTTACAATGGAAAATTCGAAGAAATGTTCAGCTTGTAGAAAGTCGTATTTAGATACAGCAGAAAAGTCCTTGTCTAAGGATAAAATTAGAGTTCCACCATGGTCTGTATTACTTCTATCATATCTGCTGACGATAGTATATTTTTCGACAAAAACTGGTTCACCAACTTGTAACCAGTGTTCTGTAATAGCAACTATTTGGGGAAACCCTAACTCTTCCAAAAACAAATACAATTCATCAGTCTTATTCCGTATTGATCGAATATTAATTAGAACCATTCTTAATTTACTGTCGGCATAGCCAGTAAGACTAGTTGGGGATTCTAGTTCCCCAGGACACGTCGTATTAATTAAAAATTTTTCCTAGGTGAATCGGCAGTAAAATAACGATGATTGTACTCCCTTTGCTTCTGCAGGTGTATTCTTCGTTCCGCGGATATATATGCTCTGTAGGTAGAGAGATCGTTATCCACTTCAGCTGAGCCAATACCATATAGATCATGATAATCATAATAAATGGTCCGTAAAGCTCCAGGATCAACAGGCAGTCCCTCAGAGGCTAGAAACACTTTTACACTTGTGTTCGTGTAGCCCTCATGACAGACAGATGATGGTTGGTCATGAAGATAGGCGAGGAAGAGCTTGAGGGACGATAAAATAGCCGGTTCTCTTAGTAGGGAAAATACAATAATTTAAAAGAGCTTGTTTTAGATCCAATTTTTAAACAAAACGTCTACCTTTCTATAATAACTACACAGAAAAAAATCATTGTTAACAAACTTTTACTGATAGCAAATAAAAAGTTGTATAATAATAATATGGGACAAGTAAAATGATACTAAACCAAGGCACCTATTGACATGAACCAAAAACCTAAATGTCGAAAAGTCACTGTTTTAAAAGATAAATGATGTTTTTAAAAAAATCGCTATTGACATTATCCCACAGGGTGTTTTAAAATTAGGGTAAAAAACATCCTTTATATTAACCCTGTATAATAGGTCAAATATTAATGTTTATGAAAATATTGAATATACAAATTAAAATTGATAAAATTGTATACAGTGTGCTAAAAAATTTATCGAAATAACATCAAAAAGAAAAAAATTATAACACTTTCAATAAGATCCAATTTTTTTTGCCTCCAAACATTAGCGTATACCCTCAAAATTGGCGTGGCGAAAATCATAATAATACTCTTCTCCAGGAGCATCACTTTCGTCTTATATTGAATTGAAGTTTCAAGAGGAGGATGATGAAGATCAGGTGGGATCAATATATCAACGGCTACCATCACTGTAAGTTCCACTGGGGAAAAAACAAGGTTGAGGATAACTCCTTTTTGGTTGAGCACTTTATTGGACTGGAAAAGATTGTAAAAAGCGCATATGTTCGAGACGATTTCGATAGCACCTTCTTCCGATAGTGATGAACTGGGATGAGCTGAAGCTGAAGATCAGAAATTTTCAATATCCCATGTTGCTGTAGGTAGATTATAATCGCCAAATATGTAAAAGTGACTGACCGGATGTTGCTCACTTAGCATTAAAAGTTGATTAAAGTGAAGTTGGTATAGATTAGAATGAGATTTAGGAGGTGTATATATACACCGTGTCCCACGTAAGGCGGGCATTACAACTTTATGGAGAATAAATTAATTTGTATTTTCGCCATTTTCTGAGTATACATAATCGAATATGCTCTTTTGAATTAAAATAAAATGAACTCTGTGCAACTTCCGGTTATACCGGAAGTGACCACTAAGTTCGTTATTTTAAAGGGAATACCCCATATTTTTTTTTTAATTTTAGATTCAGCATGAAATTCTGTAAACAACGATACCCCATTTGCCTATTCTAGTTATAGCGGATTTGGCGTTATTCAATTTTTTTCTACATTTTTAGTCGCCGGTAGACATTTTCTTAAAGTCGTCTATCTCAGGTACTATATCTATCAGATACTTAAAATTTTAACCAGAGGTAGTAGATGAGATGTACTTCTTGAGAATATTTAGTTATTCA